ATTTGATTTGAAAATAAATAAAAATGTTCCAATTATGGGTTAAAACTTACATCTCCCCTCTTTTTTTAAAAACATATATATATCTTTAATTCTGTAATTTCAAACTGGAAATGAATTAAGTATATGAAATACTTACGTTAGAGACCCATGGGCCACAAGTTCACCAGCGCATTTTATGCTTGATATGACAAATACATTTACTGTATAAATTATAGAATTATTGTGGCTTTTTCCTTGGTTATCCAAATATGAAGGAGTGTGCATTTAGAGGCAAACACCTTAATGCGGGTATTATACGGTATTAATACGGTATTATGACAGAATCTAGTATACGGTAGTACTATTTTTTATGCTTAAGCCCCATCCCGAACGGGTGGAAAAGGGAGGGACCATAAAAATTATAATTAATGTCAGAAGAGACAATCCTGCTAATCATTACTCATTATCATTGCTCATACAAATGCATTTAGTTTGTTAGCTCTCCTGAGCTAAAGGTTTAAAGAGCCAAAGGCTAATCTATTGCCATTTCTACGGTATGTGTAAACTTTATTGGAGTATGGGCCATATCTCGAGAAACCCTTAGTCATTTTTTGTCATATTTGTCACTGACTTTCATTTATACTAAAAATTGGGATGTGACCCTTTAACAAGGGGAGATAATCAGGGAAGTAAAAACAAAAGTAATGGTTGCTAAAAAAATCTTCTCAAGAACCACTCAGCAGATTATCACGAAACTTGCACGATAAGGATGAGGATATAAAGAACATTGAAAATTGTTCGAGGCATCACACTGGTCAAAAAGTCTCACGGTCACTTCAAAGTTGACCTAAATGATGTTTTGTTAAAACTTTGATTTTTTGCCCACCATAAGGATTAAAATGGTCAAATCTTTTTCAGTTGATGCATCGTAGGAACCCATGTCACGTTGACTCAACAGTAGGTCACGGTGACCTAATTTTTGAATTTTACAGGTATTCGATTTCAATTTTGTTTTGATGCAGATCTTGGAAACTTTAAAGCCTATAATCAACAAATCATGTCAGTTGATGCATCATGGAGTTTTGAAGTGTATCAAACAAAAATGAGATCACTGTGACCTACTTTTTGAGTTTTATGGCAAATCATTTTCAAAACATTTAAGGTCATTATATTAGATACGGAAAGGTGTTGATGCATCTTTGGGCCTTCAAACATATTTGTCACAGTGACCCCCTTAAATTTTGCAGGCATTCATTTTCAAATTGTTCTCGAGGCATATTTGGACACTGCGAAGCCTTGGATCATCAAACCATGTCGGTTTATGCATTCTAAGGCCTTGGAGCATAATACCCAAAATGCAGATCACCATGACCTACTTTAGAATGTCATGGCTATAGTAAACAATTTCAGATACCAATTTGACTAGAATCATCAAACTTTGTCAGTTCATGCATTTTGGTTCTCAGAGTGTGTCAACCAAAAAGAAAGTCCCCATAACCTAGTTTTGGACATATTTAAACATTTCAGATACTAGTTGGCTTAGAGTCGTTTAATTTTTTTAGTTGATGCATCTTGGGTCCTCGGAGTGTGTCAACTAAATATTATGTTATTTTATTAGAAGTGAGGAGGTTGTACAAATTATCAGAAGAGCTATTCTAGGTCTTTGGGTCTCTTCTTTGTTTAATACCCAGGAGAAGAAAAGATTTTCAAAGAAAAAATGCATTTTCACAAAAAAATCGATTGACTCCCCTAGCCGAAGAACCAGTGTCCCTGGGAAAACAAATTTCTTAATTTTTAGAGTGACCTTGCTCATCATAACCATGCATTTATTTTGTCTGCTTTATGTACAGAAGGAGAGAAGTTTTAAAAGTATTATTGATTTTTAATGTATGATCACTGTAGACCCTCACATAACTCCAGAACCTCTGACGATGGGGCCTTGAATTTCACAATATTGGTAGAAGGCTTGATGCTTATTGTAATCATGCCAACTGTTTGACTGCATGATGTCCATGAGTTAAGAGGAATATTTTAAAGGGGATCGGGGATCATGAAATTCATGTTGTTTCTTCCCCTTTACCCATAGATACTATATGCTAAAATTGGTTGAAAAAGGTTCAGTGGTTCATGCATGAAAAGTTGAACGTATTCAAAAGTCTACGACCGACACACGAGGGCAGACAAAAACGGAAAGCAATAGGTTACCTGAGTCACTCAGGTGACCTATTGAGATGTTCCAAATCCGCTACTGCTCCTTAAACATCAATCAAAATTCCATGCATTGTCAGGTCAGCGCGCCCTTTCAATTATGAATAGACAATAATATTTTGTCCAACCAGATTCAAGCTTCTGTATTCAACACTAAAAATAGTCCCGCGGCATCATCTAAATATTTATTATGCTCTGTAGTCTACATGACGTAAATTTAAGTTAATTGTGTTTTAAATTGAATGTACAGTCCACTTATCAGCATTCTTACCCGAGGAACGCAAACAAAAATGCACAAACTATATAATTTTTCAGGCATAGTCAGGTTTTCTACGAAACTCCTCTCATGTTTAGCCTTGACTAATCCGAACTGCATGCAAATATTTCCGCGGAGGCGATTTTATTGGATAATCTAAAAGTCGCTCTCACGTGACCCCGATCGGGATCATTTAGATGTTTTAGAAGTGGTAGCGGATTCAGAACATTTAATTATACCCCTGCTCCGAAGGAGAGGGGGGTATACTGTTTTACCCTTGTGTGTCTGTCTGTGTGTCTAGCTGTCTGTCTGTCCGTAACAAATTTTGGTCGCCGTTTTCTCAGCAACTACTCATTGCAGAAGCTTGAAATTTTAACACAATCTTTGTTTAGGCATGCCATATGGAGGGATTCATTTTTGTACGAATTCGATGTCAACTTCCTGTTTATCCGTGCGTCTGTCCATACCATACATAACAAATTTTGGTCGTAGTTTTCTCAGCAACTACTCATCGCAGATGCTTGAAATTTTAGCAAAACCTTGTTTAGGCATGCCATATGGTGGGATTCATTTTTGTACGAATTCGATGTCAACTTCCTGTTTATCCGTGTGTCTGTCTGTACCATACATAACAAATTTTGGTCGTAGTTTTCTCAACAACTACTCATCGCAGATGCTTGAAATTTTAACACACTCTTTGTTTAGGCATGCCATATGGTGGGATTCATTTTTGTACGAATCTGATGTCAGTGCGTACCATACATAACAAATTTTGGTCGTAGTTTTCTCAACAACTACTCATTGCAGATGCTTGAAATTTTAGCACAATCTTTGTTTAGGCATGCCATATGGTGGGATTCATTTTTGTACGAATTCGATGTCAACTTCCTGTTTATCCGTGCGTCTGTCCGTACCATACATAACAAATTTTGGTCGTAGTTTTCTCAGCAACTACTCATCGCAGATGCTTGAAATTTTAGTACAATCTTTGTTTAGGCATGCCATATGGTTGGATTCATTTTTGTACGAATTCGATGTCAACTTCCTGTTTATCCGTGTGTCTGTCTGTACCATACATAACAAATTTTGGTCGTAGTTTTCTCAGCAACTACTCATCACAGATGCTTGAAATTTTAGCACAATCTTTGTTTAGGCATGCCATATGGAAGGATTCATTTTTGTACTAATCTGATGTCAACTTCCTGTTTATCAGTGTGTCTGTCCGTACCATACATAATAAACTTTGGTCGTAGTTTTCTCAACAACTACTCATCGCAGATGCTTGAAATTTTAACACACTCTTTGTTTAGGCATGCCATATGGTGGGATTCATTTTTGTACGAATCTGATGTCAGTGCGTACCATACATAACAAATTTTGGTCGTAGTTTTCTCAACAACTACTCATTGCAGATGCTTGAAATTTAAGCACAATCTTTGTTTAGGCATGCCATATGGTGGGATTCATTTTTGTACGAATTCGATGTCAACTTCCTGTTTATCCGTGCGTCTGTCCGTACCATACATAACAAATTTTGGTCGTAGTTTTCTCAGCAACTACTCATCGCAGATGCTTGAAATTTTAGTACAATCTTTGTTTAGGCATGCCATATGGTTGGATTCATTTTTGTACGAATTCGATGTCAACTTCCTGTTTATCCGTGTGTCTGTCTGTACCATACATAACAAATTTTGGTCGTAGTTTTCTCAGCAACTACTCATCACAGATGCTTGAAATTTTAGCACAATCTTTGTTTAGGCATGCCATATGGAAGGATTCATTTTTGTACTAATCTGATGTCAACTTCCTGTTTATCAGTGTGTCTGTCCGTACCATACATAATAAACTTTGGTCGCAGTTTTCTCAGCAACTACTCATTGCAGATGCTTGAGATTTTAACACACTCTTTGTTTAGGCATGCCGTGTGGTGGGATTCATTTTTGTACGAATCTGATGTCAACTTCCTGTTTATCCGTGCGTCTGTCTGTACCATACATAACAAATTTTGGTCGTAGTTTTCTCGGCAACTACTCATCGCAGATGCTTGAAATTTTAGCACAATCTTGTTTAGGCATGCCATATAATGGAATTCATTTTGGTACAAATCCGATGTCAACTTCCTGTTTATCCCTGCATCTGTCTGTACCATACATAACAAATTTTGGTCACAGTTTTCTCAGCAACTACTCATTGCAGGTGCTTGAAATCTTAACACAATGTTTAGGTGCTTGAAATCTTAACACAATGTTTGTTTAGGCATGCCATATGTTGGGATTCATTTTTTACTAATCCAATGTCAATTTCCTGATTATCACTGTGTTTGTCCATAACTGAACTTGTGTATTCACGTCAGAGCGGGGGTATTATTAGTGAGCATAGGCTCACAGACTTCTTGTTTTAACTAGACTGCATAGTTACTGATTCAACATCAATTATCTTTTTTAAAAATGAGAGACAATTGTTTTATAAGATTCATCTTTATCCTAATACGTTTCCTTTCGAATATGAATGTTCATGAGATCTTCAAATTTGTCAACTTTTTTCATGTCAATTTCAGGTTATTTTCCCAACAGGAACATTAGTTGAAATCAGGTTTGTTTCCTGGCCGACTCAGGATCACTGGCAATTAAACATCGACATTTTCCCATCTCCTTCTGATGTAGGGAATTCTAGTGGACTCTGTGGAATCCTCGATAACAATTACAGAAATGACTTTACTTGGAACAATCCTGGAAAAACGGAGGACATTCCTGATCTCTACGATTATTACAATCCTCCCAATGGGTTTTCTAATTCCTGGAGGTAATATTTTCTGGATAACATAGTCCTCCATGAAGTGGCTAAATTTCTCCTAAAAACACTGGCCACTACTTCTGCAGATTTGAACCAAGTCGCTTGATTATTTTGTTAACCATTCGTGAAAACAACTTTCTTTGTTGATATAAATTGTATGGGAAAAAGTACAATAACATAGTCCATCATTTACCAGTAAAGTGATAAGTTGTAACCCTATCCTTCTTTTGTCAAATTATTTTTGTATTGAAAAAACTCTCATATAGGTTTGATCCTTATATAAATAATAAATCTTATAAAAGAGGGCAACACTTCTTAAAAGCATTTCAAAGTAAATTGTCCGCTTTGCAATATTTATAAATCGTTTTTACCTTAATGACTTCATTGTAGAGTTGGAAATGGTGAGGTAGACCTCTTTGACAATAGTGTTTATGATAATCTTGACTCCATTACAACAGTCTTTGATCGTACTTGTACATGTGAAAGAGAAGACAACCAACAAAAAGGAGATATTATATGTAGCTACGGGAATTACAAAAATTGCAAGTTTGTGGTTGGGAAAAAATACTACTGTATCTTAAATCCTGAAGGCCAGTTGAGAAGAAAAAGAGATTTGCGTCATTTGCAGTCATTAAGAATCAATGATCCTGGGGGAAATGTGGTTCAGCACGAGGTACAGCATGGCAATTTCTTAAGTATTAATTGTGGAATCAAATTTAACCAGCATTCCCTAAATTTACTCCTTGTCTTTTTTCAGAGTCGAGTGAAAAGACAAACCAATATTGATATGGTGTCACACGAAAATGCGACGATCATCTGCCATAAAGCATTTGAAGCATCTGATTCGTATTTGATGTGTCAGGAACATGTCAGTGATTTGGCAAATACATCATTGGTTAATTGTATTTCTGATGTAATGGTATGTACCCATATGAGTCTGCTCTGAAAGACTTTCGTTGTACGTTGCCTAAATATACGACTCTTGATAGTAATAATGAAAAGATCGTTGTAATATGCATAGTACTAAACTAATGTGTATACAAATATTGATTTTTGCGCTCAGCTTTGATTTGAACTATATTTTATGTTTTTTCAATATGCTTAAACCTTATAACAGTTAGTTTTTGAGTTTCAATCTTTCTTAATTCGCAGTGCAAAAATGTAACTTTCCAAAAAGTCCAAAGCGCTTTAATATGGTGTATATTTATTTGCAAGATCTATTCAGCGATCAGCAAAAACATGACTTTGTGTAGATATAGTTTGTATTTTACATTCTGGATTGGGGTTCCAATTTTGAAAACTGTAAAATATGGTTACTACAGGGGGACTTGATTAAAAGAATGTACTAAAAGTAGGAAAAATGTACATGTAGTTTTATAAATTACTTTATTGAGGATTTGTGTGTATTCCTATCTTGTATATCTAATCAGATGACTGGGGACATAAACATCACAAAGATCCATATAGAAGCAGCATTAGAGCAGTGTTCCACGTTTGTTGTTTTAAACAGTACTTTCCAAGAAGTCGAACCAGACATAACATACAGAATTGAGAGTCTTTGTGAAAACAACTGTAGCGGAAATGGTATATGCAATACCGGTAAGTTGTGGTCGTAAAACCAACGTGAAATGTAACATTTTTTATCCTTTGGAGTTAATCTGTGTGTTTAATATGCAAGTTCCATTCGTTCTTATAGGTAACTGTACTTGCAATAGTGGATATGCAGGCAGCGATTGTTCCTTTGATCTGTCCGGTCCTCCGTCAATAACGCATATCTCCGACTTCGGAATCTGTGACAAGTCTTCTGAAGCATGTGATGAAATAACTCTGTATGGAAAATACTTTCTTGAAAATATGAATACAACTTGTTACTTGAGGAGAAAAACGGTATTAGGTGTTCATCTTCACTGATAAATATATGATAAAAAATGTTTCATATTTTTATGCAAGGTTATTGGAAAAAGAATATTAAATCTAAATATTTCATCATATATTTCAGCTGGCAGAGAATGGTACCGTTTTGTCAGAAACAAATTATGAATCCAGTCTGCAAGAAAGGACATTGTTTGAAGGATACTGCCCCCTTAACTACAACACAGATGACAACTGGGTCACAGAATTTAGGTTCAACGTATCAAACGACGGCAGTCGATATACGGATAACTATAACATTTACACCTACCAGTCCCTCTGTCAGAAACTCAAAAATGATACCGGGAACATAACATTTATATTTAAGGTAAATTTTGAAAAGGTATACTTTCAAATAAGGTATTTCTGGTGCAGGTTCTGTACAAAACTTTTTTCAGAGCATATATTATCTTGTCTTTGCCCAATCTGGCTCACACTCGGTGATCTAAAGGGGATATGCAATGTCTTAAGGAGAGAAAAAAAATATAAAACAGGTCTCTTGGTAAAATTTCTGTCTTATGCATATTTTCTCTCTTTTTTGCATTAACCGATTCATAATTTATTTTTATTCTTTTGATAATAGATTGATATAAGATTTTACCTATATTGGGTCTGTTTTAGTAGAAAACTCTTGCATGCCTGGAACATATTTTCTTTCTGGCTCATAAAACAGATAAAGGGTGAGCAGTTGATTCAAGTTAACTTCACAAAAGTCAATATCGAAACAGGTTTCGGATAAAAATCTATTTTCGCAGAATAATTTTTCTCTCTTTTGACCAGTTTGGAAATATCATACCATGAGAATGGTACATTGAAAATAATGTCAAGATTAAAGCTGTTCTTCTGAAGTATAACGATACATTTTCTGCCCTTAGACCAGAATCTGACCTTGTTTTAAGTTTCAATATAAATTAGCAGGACAGAGCAAGTAAATCTGGTTCTTGCGTCGCCTAGGGAGTTACTATGGCTAAAGGCTTTGCAATCAACCAGAGCCAATGTTTAATTCAAAGATAAAGGTCAAGTCAGATCTTTCTGTCATTCTTTTTATGGAATGAATAATTTATACCCATGTACACGTTTGGACCAAACTTCTCCAAAAGATGCGCAGTGTTTGAATCAACTCAAATATCAAACGCATCTAGTGTTATCTCTATTGGGATTGGATGGATTTCTGCTATATAACTCTTAAAAATCTATGGTCGATACAATGACATTCTCAGCAAATACAATCTATCATTAAGTAAAATGCTTACTGACGTTGTAATACAAACTGTTTGGTCATTTTTTTTTCCGTACTGAATTGTCTACGGATTTTTTTTCCGTTTACGCGATCATGACAAGGAGCACACGCGGTGGGTGTCCGGTTGTCAGGAGATGCTTACTCCTCAATGGCACCTGATCCAACATCTGATGTTTTTAGAGCTCTGCGTTTGCTATGTTCCAAAACTTTATTGTTTCAATTGACTTTTGAGCTTGATCACTATTCGTTATCTTCATATTTCATGAAATTAACCTCACCTTCATTACAATCGACTTATTCAAAAACTTTTCTTATTTTTTTAAAAGAAAATTACACTTATCTTGATCTCCTTATCCAAGACAATAAGGTTTTGAAAAAGATTCTCAATATCGCATGATTCGTGGTTTTTATCGCAAATAAAATCAACTTATCTAGGAAAATAAAGTATATTATAATTATTTTGTAGGATGGTTATTGTTACATTAATAATACTTGTGTTGCTGATGGAGATACAAATAAAGACAATGTTTGTGATATCTGCAATACTGCAAGTGATAAATATCAATGGTCATTTAACACAGGTATTTTAATATCACTTGAATTTGATCCTTGGCATTTATGTTTTCAATCAATTCCAACGTATCCTTTTTCAATATATGGTCAATATCCTTGTTCCTTTTTTAAGGGCACTGTTTTATTAATGGGAAGTGTTTCACAGCTGGAGCAATAAATGAAACAAATCCTTGCAGCGTTTGTAATCCGTCTCTCAACATAACAGCGTGGTCTCCTAATCCAGGTATACTTATTGTGAGAAATATGGGGAAAATGTAAATATATTCACTTGATCATTTTCATTATTTTTTTTAATCCAGCAGAGTTTAATTTCAATTTTAAATCTTTTCCATCTAGGATTCTGCTTTATTGACAGCATCTGTTATTTTGATGGTCAAGTTAATCCGAGAAACAACTGTGATGTTTGTCAGTCAAATGTATCACGTAGTGACTGGATATTCAATGAAGGTATTTTTTTTTAACTGAAACACATTCATTGCGTTAAACATTGATGTAAAGGCTCAAGACCATAGATTGAAAGTTTAAAAGATTTAGAAGTTTATGAGTTTTAAAGGGTAAAAATCCTGACAAACAAACAGTTATGCAAAAAGAAAGGTAATAACTTTATAGCTTGTCGTTTTATAATGTGGTTTTAATTTTCTCCCAAGGTTACTGCCTCATCGATGGCCTGTGTATTAAGAACGGAGTTTCAGATGCCACTATGGACTGTAAAATGTGTAACTCTGGTGTAAACAAAACCACATGGCAAATAAAGAATGGTAAAGAATAAACTTTATTATTAGTGGTTTTGCTGACGTCACGTGTACTTATTTCATGTTAACTATATTTAGAAAAATCCCAATATTACTCAATTCAGTATTTTTGTTGAAAAAAATCAATTTAAAGCAGAAAATATAATACAAGACAATGAAGTAATACGTTGCATTAGAAATTTGTAGAAGGTTTTGAAAACAAATCTCTTAAATTAACGTAATATTCTTGATTGCTGTCACGAGTTATTTTAAAGTATGTTTTTTTTAACAGAATGCTACATAAACATACAAAGAATATAAAATATATATGAAATTCTCAATAGCCTTTATTCATATCGAAAAGAATTTTACAGGTTATTGTCTCATAGAAGATTCTTGTGTTGTGGATGGAGGCACAAATTCCACGTACCCCTGTCAATTTTGTAATGTCTCGTTAAGTCAGCTCTACTGGAGTAAAAACCCAGGTATAATATTGACCGAAGATTAATTAATCTTATGTTTGTAAGTCCAGCATGATTAAAGTACATGTATCCCCGTAATTTTTGTCCAAATAATTAACAATCTCATTAACAAGGGTGATTAAGAAGTTTCAAGTTTATAGTTTCCTTGTTTCCTTAAGCCAACTGGCTCATCAGAATAATTATACAATCATGCTATTAAAAGAGAAGAAAAAATCATACAGAGAAGGTGAACGTACAAAATACATACATGAAAATAGTCTTATGCATCGATAATATTTTTTCTTAATATTTGGCAGCATTCATGTATACGTCAGAAGTCTGATACTTTTAAGACTTTTGATGCGTTGATAAAATAATATTCCTGAAAAAAAATAATTTTTTTTCTTTCAAAGTTTACTGTGAAATCGATAACCAGTGTTTTGCTGACGGCCAGAAAAACAATTACAACGACTGCTATTACTGCAATATATCTCTGGGACAAAGTATATGGTCTTTTAGTCCAGGTATCAACAAAAGTTTAGATATTTTATATTTCTTAATGCTATAAGTTAAATTAATTGATAACATATTCACTTATTACTCTTTCTTTCTTTTAGGTCATTGTATAATTGATGGGCAGTGCTTCAAGCATGGCGAGAATCAGACTTCTGTTGGCTGTAAACTTTGTGACCCACTTGTAAAAAAAGACAACTGGACATTAGCTAAAGGTTATAGAATGAAAATGTATTTTTATTCAAAGAAATTCAAGAACATTGCCTATATGGGGGTCAAATTGAGACAGTTTTTATTTTCTCATTTTTTTTCTTTGTGATCTGAAGGATATTCAGGAAATATTTTATTAATTCTAAAATTATTTGCTTGTATCAAATGAGTCATATCTATAACTGTTCTATCCCCAGGATATTGCTTTATTGACAACTTATGTGTAAGTGATGGACAGAAAAACACATCCAATGAATGCCTTTATTGCAACACGTCATTAGAATTGAATAATTGGTCAATGAACCTGCGTAAGTTTTACTCTGACAAAATTTAAGTACATGTATAATATTCTTATTTTAAAAAACTTGATGTTAAGAAGAACCTTGTAAACGATAAATTGAATTATTATCAGAAGGCAATTTATTATTTGTGAGATGTATATTGATTCCTAGAAATTTCAAGAGTACACAATTAAATAATTTGTAAAACAGTCAAATCAACTAGCCTTTTTGCAGTCTTTGAACAGTATATAAAGTAGTCTTAGCTTGAATATACATATTAGTAAAGCTCAAAATATTCGTGAAAAAAATTATTTAAAAACTTCCGCATGAAAAGTCTTAATTCGGCATTTAGATATATGGACGATTCTTTTTATCAATTAAAAATATTCATCTTCATTTCTACGTTTAATCGGCATATAATGTTAATAGACTTAGCGCCACTTAGTCTAACTCATCTATTTCATATTTGGATGTTTGAAGACATTGATGGCAAATTAACAACTCAAATTTCTGATAAACGGGATGACTTTAACTTGTTGTCAACTACCATTATTTATATACTGTTTGTGGTAGCTTTGAGTGGCAGGGCGCTCGCATTGTGATCAGGAGGTCCCGAATTCTTCTATCCAAGCTCTGCGTCTAACTTAAGACGTAGACATAGGTAGTAATTGTTTCTTTACCAAGCCCCTGGTACTATAAGTGAAAATCGGTGGTCATGCGGATGATACATGAAAAACTAGGTTTCATGACACGGTAGGCGTTGGCACGATAAAGAACTCATTGCTCAATGTACATGTACCTTAGTCCCGATTGAAGGGCTAAATTTGAAGCCCTTCATCGGTATTTGGCACATCTCATATCTGTGAAAGACTCTCGAATGGAACCTAAAACAACATACAATCAGTATTTATATAACAATGCGTCATTATCATACGCGTGTGGGGTTGGTCTCCCAGTTGATTCTATACGCAAGAGCATTTTCTTCTTATGATCAATCTCTTTATATGAGACAGACTACTGACAATAAGGTCAACATTTCGCAAATTCTATGGTTGTTACAATGGCCTTGTTTGCAACTACAATCTATCGTAGTCGAATCTTGACTGACATCTTTAAAACGAATTATAAATCCATGGCCAGTGTGACCATTCGGCAGAGGATGCTCACTCCGCCAAGCACCTGATCCCACCTCTAATTTCAGAGGGCTGTATTTGCCCTGCTCACAATCTACATTTTATTTGGACTTCAAGCATGATTATTGTTCGTTATCTGCACATATCATTTTATCATGTGCATTTTTCATAGATTACTGCCTCCTTAATGGTTCATGTGTTATTGATGGAGAGGCAAACAGCACACACCTTTGTGACTACTGTGACGTCTCCACCAGCAAAAACACTTGGACAAAAAATCCGGGTGTGATATCTCTTGATTTATGTATTACTCTTATTATGTGCAGAAATCTGAAGTTAAAAAGCTCTTTTCACTCACGTTTTCAAGGCATTGATATGACGCGTGACCTCTGTTCCAATTTTAAATCTGATTGGTGATTTTTTTTTCCTTTCATTTAGGGTATTGTTATATTGATGGATTGTGTGTTCGTGATGGGGAAAGGAATATGTCCAATGACTGCTTCTATTGTAACACATCTAAGGGACAGAAAGTTTGGTCATTTAATCCAGGTACATTCTAAGAGTGAAGAGTGTATTCTGCGTATAAAGAATGTGTTTTCATATCAGTATTTTTTTTTTTTCAAATTGTAAAACATTCTGAGGATTTCCAATTTCTTGCACTATATGTTTGCTTTTGAACCTGTACAATGAATGGACAATATTTTCCAATATGTGTGTTAAAATTTCCCTTAATGTGCAAAATGAAATTAAGTGACTAACATAATTTCCCTTTAGATTACTGCTACACTGCTGATACGTGTATATTGAATGGCGATATAAACATTATGTATCCATGCCAAATTTACTAATATTTGAAGTTAAATTATTTTGCAGTTATAAGTAAGACTGGTGATTTCTTTTTATTTAGGATATTGCTATATTGATGGAATGTGCGTTCTTGATGGGGAAAGGAATATATCCAATGAATGCTACTATTGTAACACATCTAAAGAACAGAACGTTTGGTCTTTTAATCCAGGTATATTCTTAGAGTGAAATCAGCTTATGAAGAAATTACGAATATTGATTTTTGGCGGGATATGATTATAGGAGTATAGTCATCTTTGAAAAAAACAATATAGTTATTTTTTTATATAACTATTCATTGATTTGTTTTACATTAGAGTATTGCTTTATTGATGGAAACTGTATAAGGGAAGGCGGAAATCACACAAACCTAATTTGTAATATCTGCGACCCAGCAGTGGACAGAAACAATTGGATATTAACCCGAGGTATTTACCAAACATAAATACATGTAAATATTCTTTTTATAAAATTAACCTGAATTTATCAAGCATTTAAAAATAATTCCATTATTGTGTTTTCATATCAATATTTTCTATGAAAAAAATATGTATGTTCATTTCCATTTCAACAACGCAAAGCATGTTAAGGACTTGGATTTTCTTGGCCTTCATGTTTTTTTTTATATCATATTAATGAAAGAACAATGAATGTAACAATTTTGATCAGTGTATATTTTTCCAACATGTGTGTTAAGACACCCTTACATGTAACTCTTATATGGACGAAATGCAATTTAGTTACATGATTTTATTTTAGATTACTGCTTCATTGCTGATACGTGTATAATGAATGGCGATACAAACAACGTATCCATGCACATCGTGTAATGTCTCAAACAGCATAAAATCATGGTCACAAAACCCAGGTAAAATCTTTTCTTTTTTGATGTCGTAATAGCATTACAATATATGATGATATCTGAAATAATTGTATTAATCTAATTATAAGACATAGCTCTCAAAATAACAAATTAAATATAGTTATATTGAACCAATGCATTTTAAACATGCCCCCTAAAACACACTTTTTGCTATATGTAAATATATTTTCTATATCAAAATATAAATTATGAATTTGTTTGAAGTCACTATAGCTTAACTTCTAGAGTAATTTATCTTAAGCTGTTCCTTCCTACCATTTATAACAATGAGTCGTTTATTGTACCCGCTTATTAATTTGACACAGAGAAATCAATATATCTTGAGAGCTTGTATACAGCGAAAACACTTCTGAAACCTGAGTAAGCCAAGTTTTACTTTTATTTGAAAGGCTATTGTAATATTGAGAGCCTGTGTATTGCCGATGGACAGAAGAATGTGTCCAATGAATGTTTCTATTGTAATACATCTCAAGGACGAGACAGTTGGTCATTTAGTGAAGGTAAAAAAAAATCTTTATATATATAATGATTGGATACATTCCGTAAGTGTTAACAAATTCTCATAACTATCCTTGCGGTACTGCTGCAGTGATATACACAGGATGAAAGTTAGTCTAGTTACAACTATTAAATGCTAATCATTTCTCGCAATTTTTATTTACTTCTTATTTAAGTGTGAGTCCTTTTTCAATTATAAATAAGATTGGTGATTTGTTTTTATTTAGGATATTGTTACATTGATGGAATGTGTGTCCGTGATGGGGAAAGGAATATGTCCAATGAATGCTACTATTGTAACACGTCTAAGGGACAGAACGTTTGGTCATTTAATCCAGGTATATTCTTAGAGTAAAATCTGGTATTCAGCATATGAAAAAAATATGAACATTGATTGCTGGCCAGAGATAATTTTAAGAGCATGATAATCTTTAAAAACATTTTTGTCTCTTTTTTTTGTTTTACATGATTATTCATTGATTGGTTTTGCATTAGAATATTGCTTTATTGATGGATCCTGTGTAAAAGAAGGCAGAAATCACACACAATTTGGTTGTAAAATCTGTGACCCTTTAGTAAACGCAAGCGACTGGATCTTAAACCGAGGTATTTACCAAACATATATAAATATTCTTTCTATAAAAATAAGGTGAGGTCTAACAAGCCTTTTTAAATACATCCATTATTGTGTTTTCAAATCAATATTCTTTGAAAATATAAGTTTATAATTGAACAATATTTTGCTTCAAAAATTGATTATGTATGTTCATTGCCATGTCATTAACTATAAAGCATGTTCTAATTTCTTGTGCTTAATGCTTGAAATTGTACCTGTACAATGAAAGTACAATGGATATAAATATATAGATCTGTTTATATTTTCCAAAATTTGTGTAAAGATTTCCCATCATATACAATTTATTGGTTCGTTTGATTATTTTTCAGAATACTGCTTCATCGCTGATACGTGTATATTGAATGGGAATACAAACATAACGTATCCATGCCAATTCTGTAATGTTTCAAGCAGCATGTACTCCTGGTCACAAAACCCAGGTTAGACCTTTAACCCTTTGACATTATAATAAAATTGCAATATTAAATATTGCTGCTAGATATATTAATTGAAATTAGTAGAGACGCCTCTAAAAATAATATATATATATATATATATATATATATATATATATATATATATATATATATATATATATATATCCTTTTATTGAATCAATGCATTTAAAAATGTTAATATACAAAATTCCAATATATCAATTCATTTTTGATATTTAATTATATAAATTATGAATTTGTTTCAAGTCAGAATAACTTCTAATGTATGTAATCTAAATATGTTCCATTCTGCCATCCTTAACAATGAGCAGTTTTGAATATTCTTCCTAATTTGAAACTGAAAGTAATAAACCTTTATTTTGTAAGAACTGATATAAAGTTCTGAAACCCGATAAACTCAAGTTTTACGTTTATTTGAAAGACTATTGCAACATTGAGAGCCTGTGTATTGCCGATGGACAGACGAATGTGTCCAATGAATGTTTCTATTGTAATACATCTCAAGGACGAGACAGTTGGTCATTTAGTGAAGGTAAAAAAATCTTAACTTTACATGTATGATGACTGGATAATCCTATGCGCGTTTAAAAAAATTCTGATAATTATCTGTATGGTACTGCTACATTGATATACACTGCAGAAAATCAAATGGTAATAATATTTACATTTAAATTAAGTGTGAGCTCTTTTACAATTATAAAACAGAGTGGCAATTTATTTTTTACTTAGGATATTGCTACATTGATGGATTGTGTGTCCGTGATGGGGAAAGGAATGTTTCTAATGAATGTTACTATTGTAATACATCTAAGGGACATAACTTCTGGTCTTTTAGTCCAGGTATATTTTAGAGTGAAATCTGCTATTCGGCTAATATAGGAATAACGGACATTTGGTGAAGCCAAGAAAAAATTACAATAGCATGATAATCTTTGAAAAAAAAATTGTCTCATCTTTGTTTTTCATAATTATTCTTTGATTTGTTTCACATTAGAGTATTGCTTAATTGATGGAACCTGCATTAAAGAAGGCAGAAATCACACAAAGTTTGGTTGTAAAATATGTGATCCTTTAGTGAACACAAGCGAATGGACCTTAACCCAAGGTATTTACCAAACATATGTTAATAATCCTTCTTTTAAGAATCTCGAGAGACCAAACAGGCATTATGGAAAAACATCCATTATTATATTTCCAAATCAGTATTCTTTCATTGATTGATTGTATGTTGTTTTAAGTCCCGTTCGAGAATTTTTCACTCATTTAGAGACGTCACCATATACCGGTGAAGGTCTCTTCCGAATGACTCGCAACTCTCAATTCAAAGTGCCTAGTACTTGGCGAAGGAACAGTTGCTACATATTTTTTATCGACTTAGGTCAATCGCGGCCGTGATTCGAACACACGACCTTCCGATCACGGAGCGATCGCTCTACCGACTGAGCTACCGAGACGGCCAATATTCTTTGAAAAAATAAGGTTAAAAATGCACGAGACGTTGCATTAAAAATTGATGATAGATCTTCGTTCCCATGTCATAAACTATCAAGCATGTTGAGGATTTTATTTCTAGGTCATGTGCTTTATGTTTGCTTTTGTACCCTTTCTATGATGAATGTTGATATAAAGATCTGTGTCCTTTTTTTCCAAAATTTGTGTTAAGGTTTCCCTTTTTGCAATAAATGCAATTCAATGACTTGAATATTTTTTTAGATTACTGCTTCATTGCTGATACGTGTATATTGGATGGCAATTCAAACATAACGTATCCATGCCAATTCTGTAATGTCTCAAATGGCATGCACTCGTGGTCACAAAATCCAGGTAAGATTTGTGAACTTTATGATGTGTTTATTACATTACAGTTTTAATTAACATTGGAACTAATTGTGCGAATTGTGAGTTCGACTGAATAAATATATATTCTGAAAACAACATAAATTTGTCTCTTGGTACCATTCTTAACAAAAAGAAGTCTGTGTTCATTCTATTACATTTGCCACTAAAGTGTACATAAATCATTAATTATTGAGAGCTTTTACACGATAAAGCACTACTGAAATTTTATAAAGGCACGGTTTTGTTTTATGAAAAGGTTATTGTAACATTGAGAGCCTGTGTATTGCCGATGGGCAGAAGAATGTATCCAGTGAATGCTTCTATTGTAATACATCTCGAAGACGAGACAGTTGGTCATTTACCGAAGGTAATAAACTCTTCACATAATTATCATGTACATGTATGTATTACAGAAGCATCCTCAGGTAGTGCAGATTGAAATCTGTTCAAATCATGATCCCCTTGGGTAGGGTGGGGCTCCTACATGTGATTAAAATGTTACATAACAATATATAAGGTAAAGAATATGCTGATGATGAACAATAGGGTCATTGTTATTCATCGTGAGCGTTGTATCCAGTCAATCAGACGATTTGGTCGGCTGACCGCAGATAAGATACTTTTTCGAGAGCTACGTAGATAAGAAAATATTTCATTATTTACATTGAAGTACTTTGTCAATAAATATAATGTTAAGTTTGTTATTTTAACATTTTATAACAAACTGGTAACATTTCATATGATTAATAAATAGCGATCGGTTAAATCAGAATGGTTTGAATGGTCATGAAGAATTGCTTTCTGTGCAACAGAATCAAAATTTACTATTTTTTTTCTTAAAAAGTAAAATCAATATATTATATTTAACTCACAAATTAGTAAAATGTTTGTTAATGAAAAAAATAAATTAATGCCAAAAGCGAGGATCGAACCAAAACGTACTGATTCCTTATCGCCATGGACAGGTAACGTATACTACTGTGCTATCGTTGCATTTGAATATTGAATGTGAGGTTAAAAAAACAAAAAAAGCAGCGGATCAATAAAATTTTCACCGCAAGTGCGCCCAGATTACTGCTGAATCCATATTAAAAACGCCTTCGTTATTTTTCCTTGATTTATTTTCAACCCGAACGTTTAAATTGACACTTAAAAATTGTTCTGAAAATGTAAAATCTTCAAATGGATTTATAACGATGCTTCAACTGTTACTCCATTCTTTACATGTTTTATTCAACGTATATTTTATTTTTTATTTTTTAAATTTGTCTTTTTTAAATTAAGGATATTATTTAATAAACAACGTGTGTGCAATGGACAGGGAATCCAACAACACATACCATTGTAACTTTTGTAACACCTCAAAAAATGTTTATTCTCATTCTTGAGAGGAAAAAAAGTTTCATGTTCGCTATTGATTTGATATTCAAATTGTTGCTTTATGGCAGTATGAGAAAGGTAATTGATTTTAATTTTTCCTGAATTTGAATTTCATTTTAATTCTTTCTGTGTGAAACATAATTCGATTACTTTGTAATATTAAATTGATGCTTCCTTATAGTTAAATTTCAAATTTTGGTTTGCATCAGGATATTGCATCATAGCTGATAAATGCGTTTCACATGGAGAGAAAAACATTTCTAGCCCATGTGATATTTGTGACATCTCTATCAGCAATTATTCTTGGTCTAAAAATCAAGGTGAGTAACAGTTTTTTAATAATTTCCTTGAAAGATCTTAAAAATTGGAATGCGACTTGTTTAAAAGTTGGTCGTCAACAGATGATTTAAAAATAAAATTTTCAATTCAATTCATATTTGGCAAATAATTGATAGTTAAATATTTTGATCTATAAAACATGAAAAGTACTCCTTCAGTCATATGCCGAAATCGGTTACTTATACAGCCGCCCGCAGTTATTTTATAAATAATTCATGTTTATGCTCTGTTGTCCTAGATTTTTGCAAAATCGGCGAGTTGTGTGTTGCTAATGGAGAAAGAAATGCAACTAATGAATGTTTTTACTGCAACGCTACTCTTGGACACGGTTCGTGGTCATTTCGTGAAGGTATGATCTACTGAGGGTAAACTTAGAACATTATTTTTTAATATTATCTCTTTAAAGATATTCTATATCTGTTTCCTACAATTATTGTGTACAACTATGAAATTGCACTCTAGACAAAAGTGTACAGGCCAAAAACAATAATCTTTCGCTTATTACTGGTCGAATACATCAAACACCTACGTCGAAATTGAATGAACAAGGACATGATTATGCCTGCTGTAAAACATGTCCTTCCGTGTGTGCTTTACATTATATACTTTATTTTTGTAAAGATTTTATGTCCATGTTCCGTATTATTTATCTTCTCTCCAATATTTTAGGTTACTGTAACATTGATGAAAAGTGCATTAAAGAAGGAGAAATCCACACCCTTTATAGCTGCAAAGTGTGTGATACTACTCAGGACAAAGGCAACTGGACAATAGTAGCAGGTATTCTGCATAGTTGGTTTCATCTTCCGTTACGTATATTTTCTTTAGGTTTTTCGCAAAGAAGCTCTTCTTTTATTATTATCGGTCGGAGAAATTATTGATTTTTGGCAATTTAAATATTATTAATTACCAAGTTTAGATTTGCATGTGACATTAAAAATTTCCGGAATGGTCCCATTGCGATGGAAACATGGAGGATATAAGAAAATTATAAATGAAACTCCAATATTGCACAGTTAAGGGCAGGTCAGGGGAGATAAATGTTAGTGATTGCAACAGCAACTGATTGACTTGAAATTTAAGGGAAAAGTATCCTGCTTTTAAATATATAACCTCTCTCGTATTAGGAAAAGCTCAATATTAGATGTACCTATGTATTTTTCAGATCTTTTGTAGGATTTTTTTTAAAAATTGAAATGTAATAATGGTATGGTTACTTTTCCCCCAGATTATTGCCTTATCAATGATATGTGTGTTCGTGATGGAGAATTGAACAAGACTTACCCATGTGATGTCTGCAACATCTCACTGAGTAGATACACGTGGTCGCCTAACAATGGTGAGAAATAACATGTTATACATTACCTTTTTTTGTTTTTGTTTTGTTTTTTTTTTTTTATTATAAATTTTGCTTAATTCAGAGGAAATCGATTTTATTGTATCCAGCTTCTCTATGTTTTCTGAAAAAAAAGAACATATATACTTTAAATTTCGTTTGAATTATTTCTGTATAGAAATTGCATTTATATTGAAAAAAGTTGAGCAAAAGAAAGTTATTCGTCAATTTTTGAGAATCTTTCAGTTGACAAATCACTTATGTTTTGTTTTCATTATTTGTTGCATTTATAGCATACTGCGAGGTAGATAACATGTGTATTCCCAATGGACAGAAGAATTCATCCAGTGAATGTTTCTATTGTAACACATCCTTGGGTAGAAGTGTGTGGTCGCTCATTCAAGGTATAAATTTACTAACATATAGTTCTATATTGGAATTTAAAAAAATGTAGCTCGTTACTTATCAATTTAGGTTAAAGAATGTTTTGAAATTTTTAGAATTTTTTCTTTATGCTTTACTTTCCACTACATGTATATGTCACAAATAACTGTAATATGTAATTTCAACATTCCATAAAATATCTGAATATATTAATTTGGAAAGTGGTAAATAGTATGTTAAGCAAGAAGTACAATTTCGTTCCGAAGGGAAATGGTAATATTTTCTGATACAAAGGAGGCTATTGTTGCTTTTTTATATGGGTAAATTTTAGTTTACACAAATTTAATAACTTTTTCATGTTATATACTTTAACTACAGAAACGGATAGATAATTATATACAATATTTAAAGCAACGGTGTTCTTAATAAAATATTAAAATACTTCCAGGTATTGAACTGAAAATCATACGGTTATTGTTAGTGTTCTATTGTTAAAAATGCCCTGTTCCACTCAATTTAGATTGCCCCCTAACAACTAAGGTACAAACGACAAGCACAGCTGAACCAACAACAACGGTACAAATAACAAGTACAAGTGAACCCACAACAACCAGACAAACAACGAGTACAAGTAAACCCACAACAACCAGACAAACAACAAGTACAACTGAACCCACAACAACCAGACACACAACAAGTACAAGTGAACCCACAACAACTAGACAAACAACAAGTACAACTGAACCCACAACAACCAGACAAACAACAAGCACAAATGAACCCACAACAACCAGACAAACAACAAGTACAAGTGAACCCACAACAACCAGACAAACAACAAGTACAAATGAACCCACAACAACCAGACAAACAGCAAGTACAACTGAACCTTCAACAACAAGTACAACTGAACCTACAACAACAAGTACAACTGAGGGAACTTCAACCATCGGTAAATCAACGACAACAACTCAGGACAGAATGACCACATCATCTTGTAAGAAGAAAATGTTGTTTTTTAAACATTTTTTTATTTCATTGTTTATACATGTAACAGTATCCTTATTATGGTTTATTTGATAATTTTTAGGTGTTGAAATGAACATTGAAAATATTACCGTAACTTATTATGACGTCTCTTGGAACACATCAATCAAAACAGAAGGAGCAACAAAGCGGACCATACACGATCCTTCTGTCAATTTAAAATGTAATTTTACCTCCTCCTCTGACAATCTGCTCTTCTACAAAGTGGAGTGGTATGTTGACAAACACATACTCGTCAAATCAGAAGTGCTAGGAGGATCGACTGACAAATATGCTATATTATCGTTATATGATTTGATTTCCATGAACAAGAAATCTGGAATTCAGGTAACATTTATTTTCTTGAGTCCTATTCTTAAAATAAATCCTTTAAAGTTGTTATTTCGAATTTGAAATCTGCAATCGAAGTTATTTTGAAAAATAATTAAATGATATAGTATACTTATATGATATCTAAATTTTCTTTACTCCTTCATTCATCATTTAGGTACTATGCAAGGTTGGTGCCACGAAAGATAAGCTTATGGCACCTTGCGAAATGTTTGAAAGTGATCCATTCTTAGCGGGGATGATGGTAATTTCTTAATTCACCTACGCAGACTTCTCCATGCAAGTCAATTATGCGCTTATTATAAATTTTCAATATTAAGCATATTAAAGGTCATTTAATAATTTGTCAACGATGATCAAGATCACAGATTGTATCAAATTATTTATTAAAAAAGAAAATTAATCATTCGAACATTCCAATAACAAAGCTCACGAGCTTTTTGTATGCAAACATATTTTTTTCAATATTTACTAACCTTGGACTCATTGCGAAATGACACGAGGGTGCTTATCAGTACATAAATTTGCGCATGTACACCCTGTCCATAACAGTAAGTAGAGTTTGGCCTCAAACTCACGTTGATTTCAAGTCATTCTATTATTTACAGATGAATGACACTAAACTCAGTCTTCCAAGAAAAGGCAAAGCTCATGTTGGATTTTACTTAACTGTTCCATTCGTCACACAAACAGTCATCTTAAATGATACCGTACAGGCACTCCACCCCCTGACGGTTCACAGTAACATTATTCCCATGTCAGAGAACGGTTGTAAAGGATCTATAGGAGTGGATCAATGTTCTGTAGAAATCAGTGCGTATTCCTATAATGAAAAGAACAGGTATGAATCAAATGAATGGAGAAAAGTGCACTACATCACAGTGTATCACATTGACACAGACGGTTATAGCATCGACACAACAGCCACTCTTTACTTGAGGACAAGTGAAAACGAAGATGGATTTTTCCATAACATATCTTTAGACAATACGTCGGTAAGCATTGAAGCAGAAACAATGGTAAAATTTTGTAAAAATTATAATAAGATACAAGTATATGAATTAAAATGCATTTCTACTTAGTCAGAATATGTCATGTCTTTTCTACAGATACAAATCTTCGAAGCGAAGGAAATTTGGAAGGGAAAATCATGCGGGTCAAAAACCGATCCTCATTTATACACATTTGATGGAGTGTAAGTTTTTTTAAAATTTTACTCAGACTAAAATGACGTCTAAATGTATCGTCTAAGAGAAAAAAAAAATCTTGATTGTTTCTTTAATGAAAAAAAATTAGGCGACCATAATTTGATTTTTAGTTTTACGGATCCGCCGACTCTAAAAATTTGCATTTTGAAAAAAAAAAAATCCGGAAATGTTCAAGCCGCTTGTGTCAAACCCGTGTTTTATAATACCAAATCATTCAGATATGTAAAAACACATGTGCAGAATGGTGGACATCGTTGGATTTCGTTTCAATGTTTTCAAAAACCAACCTGCACTTTTAAACAGTTCAGGGATTTATCAGTACCTTCTCTTGGGCCGAAATTCGTCCCCATTCCCAATTGAAAATGAGTTAAGTTTTTTTTCCAATTTGGCAGTTTTTTTCCCAATAGGTGAACAATGCTTTTAAAATTAATTATCTTGGAAAACACAGAGTAAAATTGTCATATTGTCTGTAATTTTCCTCTATTTAACTCATTTAGCAAAGCTACAGTCATAACACATGTTTAAAAACACTGTAAAAACATCGCCAACTTTTAATCCGAATTTCCTCCGTTTTTCTGAAAATGGTGATATTGTGTAATTATATAGATGTATTAAGTTATTTCCACCTATTCAATTGATCTACGAATGAGTAGTAAGGACTGTAGGCATTATTTCAGATAAAAAAAACATATTTTCAATGCATTAAGAACCCTCTCTACACTGCACACTAAAGAGTTCTGATTCTGTGGTATTTCTCTGCAGTTAGAGTGATCTGCCCTTAGATCTGAATTCAAATAAATTAAAATTTTCAGTGTATTACTCAATTTGTGATCAATTCAAGTATTCTAAATATTTCAAAAGGCCAAGATAAATTAATTGAACACTTTATTTGCATGTATTTTCTCCACTGAAGTAAACAACAGTGATTTCTGTTCATATTATACTTTGTTGTCTTTGAACATTTTTCCTGGGGGTAAATGCCACTTACCATATATTGAAAATTAATTAGATAAGCTCAATATTTACACATTTATACAGTATAATTTTCTCAGTGTCCTAAAAACATTTTGCACTGGTGTACAGAGGGTCCTTAATACATACATGTATTAAAAGAGGACTTATAGAAAATGTGTACTTGGTATAATTTTTGCAGGAGGTTTATAATCTCCAAAAACAGATTCTGTAACGACCTAAATTGGAATCTCATACACACCTGTACTACCTAAGTTGTATAAATACTTTATACTCAGTTTTGAAGCCAATTTTAATTTTATTAGTCTATTATTCATAATTGATCTTGTATGATGAAGTTGGAACATATTTAATTGTCTGTTTGGTTTCCCAAATTAGAGTTCATGCTGAAATGTTAAATGAAATACACCTGAGTATATGATTTAAGCAACATTTTATTTTTTTCCCAATACCCCAAAAATGGTGTTTCCAAAAATAGGCTGATAAATCCCTGATTAACAAATTCAACAAATGCAAAACAACAGACTGTGTTGGGGAAATACATAGTGTCACAAAATTATGTATCAATAAATAACAAACTGTGAATTTTGTCTTCTTCTTTTTTTTTTCCGTCCTCCGACTTGACCTGTCTTGAAAAAAAAATCCGTAAAACTAAAAATCAAATTATGGTCGCCTTACTTAGAGAAATGAACATAGCAAGGAAGATGTTTATAACAAATATTGTTCCTCCGAGATAGATATTTATATAACAAAGGATTTTTATCGTATTAAGAAAGTTGAACATTAAATTTCAGGGCATTTGAAAGCCACATTGAAGGAGAATTCATTTTGTATCGTAATTCGTTATACAATCAAGAGGTAAGACATAGCGGCTGTGCATTTACCATTGTTTGTGTTCGTATGGATTTAAAATATCAGAAAGATATCATATTTGATTAATTTGTGAAATATTGAACAAGTTCTGCTAATACCTTCTTTGCAACATTTGAGCCATCTTTATACGTTTTTTTTTTTGGCAAGATTCAAACTCGTCACGAGAAATGCCACACGAACTACCCTTTCCCGCAATGCACGTGTGCTGTTTCTGTACAGTCAGGAAACGACGTGTTTATGATTGACATTTGTGGAAACAATAATTTTATGGATTTTCTTAGATGTCAAGATAACGTCATTGAAGTATACAAAATCACAGATAAACTCTACAAGGTCTGGTATCAATTATAAATAATAATAATTATATCTCGCCAGTTTGACATTTACTTTTATGAGCGATAGTTCAAATTGTTATACATGTAAAAAAAAAATTGGAGTTTCTAATATTAGTTAATTGAAATGTAATAATTATTTAAGACAATAACTCTTAATTTGTAGATAATTAAAATCATTCTTTAAAAGAAACATGATTAACTTGCAGGTTCTTCTTCCGACTGGCACCACTGTGATTGTGTCTTTAGTGGAGTGGCCTGTTGAAGGGTCTTGGCAGATAGATATAGATATCTACCCATCACTTGCTGACGCAAACAACACTGATGGTCTCTGTGGAACCTTGGACGGCGATAGAGGAAACGAGTTTACCCATCGGAATGGAAGCAGCGATAGTTCGGCGTTGGAATATCCTGATAATTTTTCTAGATCTTGGATGTAATATATTTTTTTTCAAACATATATCTCATATTATGACATACATATTTTACTGGGAACAAGGCATATGATTTAGTTTATTCAAATAATGCTGTTTGAGACAAATAAATAGACCTATTTATCGCACTAGAAATTTGTCAAAAGCAGAATAATTTTAAAAATGTAAGGTGTACCGAATTATAAATAATTTGCTTTTACACACTGAATTTATTACAGGGTCCAGAACGATGAAAATCTGTTAAACAGCGCACCGTCAGATCGACCACCAATATCCTCCAATCTCGATAAGATCTGTACTTGTTCTCCAAGCGGAAATCAATGTTCTTATCATACATATTCACAATGTTCAAAAGCCACAGGGAAGCAGTACTATTGCACTCAAACAGCAAACCAGATACAGTCACTACGTAAAAAGAGGGAAGTTCATCTGAATAGTAATCTTCCATCTTTACACGTACGTCCTAATAAGGCTAAATTTAAGTCTTGTTCATGAAAAATATGACCTGTTTTTTTTTTATTTTAAATTTTGAACTACTTATGCAATAATATTTTTACTTCCCAGGATCGACATAAACGGGCACAATCAATTTATGTCAGAACAGAGACCGAAGCAGAGAATGTCTGTAAATCTGCCTTTAACAGTTCAGAGCCATTCCAGACATGTAGACAGTATGTCAGTGATATGACCAATGCCTCTTTATCGAACTGCATAATGGATGTTAGAGTAACTATCCTTTAACGGCAATTTAACACAAAGATAAGTTAAATATGATTTATCAGTGAAGTGTTAAAAGACCAATCTGAATTTGACATTTATTTTTTAGTTGACTGGGGATGAAAACATAACAGCTATCCATATCGAAGCTGCTCTTAAGCAGTGTGTCAACTTTCTAGATCTGAATACCACACTGAAAACAGAGCAACCGGATGTCACGTATCAACTTCAGTCGCTATGCTCAAATAACTGTAGTGGTCATGGCATTTGCAAGGATGGTTAGTTTAAATATGATATACGATTTCATTTTGAAATATAATATACCAAGTATATCTAAAAATGATTCATAGTATGGACAGACAATTATAATATTTATATGACGTTTATTCAAATTTTCATTTGGATTTGGCAAATGATTGACTCATCGTGTACAACACTATCATTTAATTTTTATACCATAAATTATGAAATTATTAAAACATTTTGAAAACTGGATTAGGTGCCATTTAAACTGGTGAACAAAATCGTATTTTTAACGACGCACACTATTTACATATGAGCAATACGGATGCTTAACTTAAATTATTAAATAATTATGTTTCTTGATAGCCTTGTGTGTTTTTGGTCTGATTTTTTGTACATAAATCATTGTTAACATCCACACTATAGGGTTAAATCTCTGAAGACCCCAGGTCACCATTTGATGCTTGAGAAAAATGTTTAAAAAATTAAAACTTAAATCTTACTTAACAGGTAACTGCACATGTGACTTTGGGTTCGGAGGAAGCGATTGTGCCTTCAATGTCCGAGCACCACCAACAATTCTAAGAACAGCTCCAAACGGAACCTGTGACATGTCTTTGCGCACCTGTTCCGAAGTTCTTCTGGAGGGCAGATACTTCCTACAGAATATTAACAAAACATGTTTCATAACCAGAATACTGGTATGTAGGATCACAATTTATAAACGTTTTATCTGAAAATTACTTCAGTCGTCATTTTATTTCCTAAGAGAAAAAAAGAAGAAACCTGATTTTCAGCCGCGCTAAAAGACCATCTTTTACCTTTGAATTTCTTCCTTTGTCTTGTGTAGCTTTTATTCTCTCCATTTCTATTAAAGATTCACTATGATGACACTGTCATGGATACCAAAGGCATTGAACAACCTCTGGATGACAGAACCCTATTCCAGGGGGCCTGTCCTTTGCCTGATGACAGACGGACCAAATGGATAACCAAGTTCACATTTAACATATCATACGATGGAAAACAGTTCACTCAAACATATTCAGTGTATAAATATCAGTCGGAATGCCAGGAGGTCTCTTATGATAGGGGTGTTGAGCAGTTTTCACTTAAGGTAATCTAAAAACATTTACATTTGGTACAATTGTTCAAGGCTTCAGTTTTTAAAAAAAATCAATAAACGGAATACAAAGTATGAATTTCTGCAAATGTGCATCTCAAAACTAAGCAGTAGATTATTTCAAAACCTTCCTTCTAGGCAGGGTACTGTTTCATTGATAACAAATGCGTAAGAAGAGAAACTTCAAATCCGGGCAACAGTTGTGAGGTTTGCAGTCCTTCAAGTCAAAAGTTTGACTGGTCATTGCATAAAGGTAAATGCTTTTATTTGTCACATAATCTGATAGGAATTCATTTTTTCTTTTTCTCAATCTACTGGGCCAAAGCTGCATATAAACGAGATATATTTAACTCAACGACTACGTATTGCATGAACTTTATGAAAATGACGTTTTGTTTGAACAAGTTTTTAATGACAAAAATGTGACTTGGGTAAAGACTTTCTCCTTCGGCCTTATGGTAATGTATTTAATCATTTCATGAATTTATTAAGTTATCGTTCTAATATTATTAGGTGAATGTTATGTGAGAAAAGAATATGTTGCTTTATGTGTCTCTTTTTATGGATGTTTCCTTTTTGTTATTGTAAAAGTACCATTTACTTCAGTTTTTTTATTTGAATTGATTGTAGTTTTCCAAGTAAATTCTTCGATGTGTTTTCTAAATGATAAACAAAAAGTTGGTCAAGGATTAAGTTAAAATTTCAACGGCATAAACAGTTACAGAAAACTTAAAATAATTTTTTTAAGATTGTGTTTCAACCACGTTGTCACCAACAACCAAATCTCCAATATCCAGTCCAGCTTTCATCATAACTGTCTCTGCTGTTTCCTTTATATTTGTTGTGACTTTAATAGTTGTCATTCTTGTCTGGCGATATCGATCGTAAGTATATAAATCTAATTAAACTTCAAACAGAAAATCTACGAAAACTACAAAACCTCTTTTAGTACCAGTGAAATGTCAAAACTTTTTCCGATTTTCTAGAAAATTTCTAAAGAATAGAAAGTTAAAAATTCGTATTGCTCAGTTTCCTTAGAATATATTGTGAATATCCTTTAGACAAATATTATTATCTTCACAAAACAAAGACATGGCAGAAATGTGAATTTCTATCTTGCTCATAAGGTATTTTATCAATAAAAATAGGTCTACTGGACGTCACTTAAATGAGGTTGACTCAACAAAGGGCTTAGAGCTTCCAAAGTGGAGGACATACTTTGACGAGGGGAAATAATTCAACGAGTTTTACATTTCTAGAGGTCGAGGACACTCTGGTCAGCATTACACGAACGGTGAAAATAACTATCAGTGCTCTGAACTGACTTAAATCCTCAGAGTAATTCGATTGTATTGTCTTTCAACATTAAAAATACCAGCCGATCTATGTTTATTTTAAATACATTTAAAGCTTTACTTATAAAAGTGAAGATTCGTTGTAAACATTGTTCTAATAAAAATATCATGTCAGCTGTAAATGGCTTCGTATTCTAGGTTCATTCAGAATCCATTATTACTTAAGAAGTAAACGAGAACATTATAATTTCTAAAAAGAAAACGAAAGACTACTAATAAAGTAGTAAATTCTTCCCTTATATTTGCATGTTGTGTGAGTTTATTGTTTCTGTTCACTTTCTGTCAGGACAGATTTCTTGTATGTTTGCATGTTTTTTTTATTAGTTCTATCCTGTATACAAAACGTAAGTTTAATCATATACAGAATTTCTTCTTTTTTTATTTTATAAACACATTTGCAGAAATGCATGCTAATATGTCAGTCATGTATGACATAATAGTAATTTAAAATAGTATTTCTGTGAAATGATAGAGCTTTAATTTATAGATTCTTTTTTAAACTTCTTTATATTTAAACTGTTTGACTACATATGCTTTGTGCGTATTCCGAACATTAGCATTAATTCCAATCAGTACATATCTTTAAAGATTATCAAACGGCTTTGTAATTATATACTGATGATTGAATTTTAGTTAAAATGACATCAAATAAACACTTAAAACTCATACATTATTGATGTGACTTGTATTTTTTTAAATTACGTTTTCATTCCTAGCAACCCATATTTGACAAACCACTATGTACGAAATAAATAGCTATACCCAAGATGGGAATTTAAAAGACATTCCCTTTATGCTTACCTGAACCAACGGCTCAAGTGAGCTTTTCTCAATGAAAAGTCTCCGTTGTCAAATCTCTCTGTTGTACGTTATCAATTTTTATATACGTGTACGTATTTTATACTTCTTCTCTTGAACCACTGAGCCATATTCATCCGAACTTGCCATAAAGCATCCATAGGTGGAAAACTAATATTATTTGTAGCTAATCAGTTATATCTTTGGAGAAGAATTTATTTCGTATACGGTTGAAATTCAGTATCTCGAACGCCGCCATCTGGAATACCATGGATATGTCGATATTTCTTTAGTATTTTATCATTGATATCTCGAATCCCCAAATTTCCAGGTTCCATGGAGTTCGATAAATGAGATTTGACTGTATTTCTATGATGTTCAACACCCATGGGTCTCTTGCTCTAACCATCACTTTCCGTTCATATTAAAACGAAATGAATAAAAAAAAGCGCATTGCAAAGCGGAGTTTTCTCTCGAAAGAGAGTCAGCAAATGATATCGATCCCGATGTAAATGTTTACTTCTGTTACACACGCACTCACCTACACAAAGCAGTTACTATATATCACCTACCCCCTTTCAAACTTACGAGAGAATAAAAATCAAAGATGATAAAATTCTACTTTGAAATGCTTTTACTGGATCAGCTTGTTACATGTATGCAAATTATCCTACGTTGCCCTGGCATGCCCAACAACTAGACAGTGGCGTTTCTATTTTCCATTATTCAACACCTGTGAAGGTTTTCTGTTTAATGAAAGTCTTCATCCATGTACTTGCATGCCTTAAATAAAATCACAAATTTTATTCACAAATCCCTGTTCACAAATTTGTATTATTTTTAGGCTTGAAGAGATGATCACTATACGTTATCTTCTCCCTTTTTTGTTTTTCCAACTTCTTGATGGTCCCGTTACCTTATCCGTTTAGCCACAGCGACTTACATCTACAATATTAGAATTATACCGAAATATTTGTAGAAATGGAATTGAGGCACCTAACATTTATATTCTGTCAAGGATTTTAACTATATATTCTGTGTTACTTGCGCTTATTACCTTGACTGACTGTTTATTCATTAAACAACTTATTAGATTAAATAACCTTGTAATAAGACACCGAATATGCTCTCATTCTCACTACTCAAACATTTGAATAACATTGATTATCAGCTGTTTTTGCATGAAAACGTGAATTTGAAACGAAATCGGGAATTCTTACTCTTGAACACTTACTAAATATGTCGCAGATGGCGCAAGGCCATACAAACATGTTTGATAAATACGGTTGGTATATTTTTCTTCAAGAAAACTTTAAATACACAGTATTTTGACACTAGGACTTGCTTCCTCGTGCAAGGAAAACCTATTTCAAAAAGAAATTACAAAAAAATAACTTGAACAACCCCTTTAGTGACTAGTATATGACTTTTTTAAAATAAGTATTTCAACATTGTGAAAGCAATACACTTTGGACTTCATAAGTTCATTTGTCAAACAATATAAGGCACCGTTCACGGTAGCTCAGTCGGTAGAGCGCTCGCTTCGTGATCGGGAGGTCGCGAGTTCGAATCTCGGCCGCGACTGACCTAAGTCGATAAAAAATGGGTAGCAACTGTTCCTTCGAAATGCGCTCGGCACTTTGAAGTGAAAGTTGCGGGTCCTTCGGATGAGCCCTTAAAAACCGAAGCCCCGTGTCACGGCAGGCGTTGGCACGATAAAGATCCCTCACTGCTCAATGGCCCTAAGTGCCGAGTAAAGGTCAAAATTTGAAGCCCTTCACCGGTATATGGTGACGTCTCTATATGAGTGAAAAATTCTCGAATTGGACGTAAAACAACATACAATCAACCAATCAATCAAACAATATAAGGATGAATGAATGATTATGTCTTCCGTCCCATTCGAGAATTTTTCACTGATAAAGAGACGTCACCATATTCCTGTGAAGGGCTTCAAGTTAAGACCTATACAAGTTAACACCTATACTCGGCACGCAGGGCCATTCAGCAGAGAGGGCTTTTTTATCGTGCCAACGCCTACCGTGACACTGGACCTCGATTTTAAAGTTTCATCCGAAAGACCCGTGATCTTTCACTGCTAATGCCGGGCGCTTAGCGGAGCAACAGTCAAAACCTATGTTTAAGTCTTAGATTTGATGTTACGCGGCGAACAAGAATCAAAATCGGGCCTCACGAGCACGAAGCGAACGCCCTACCACTAGGCTACACTGACTGGGAATATATGAATGAAATAAAACAAAAAATTCAAAATATTTTGCACATTTTGGTTTTTTTTTTTTGGGGGGGGGGAGGGGGGTTGGTTCATGAAAGTATGACCGGCATGAATAAGGGAAAATCCTGGCTTATTCAAATTTGTACAAAACGTGTAGATTTTGTCAAAGTGCTAATGATGAACATATTAAAGGACATGAATGCAGCAATATTGGGACAAGTCATCCAAAACAATTCAAGCTGATATGGCAATAGAGGTAAAGCTTCTTTTAAGACTTTTTTCATAAGATTGAAGATGAATACTAGTGAATTGCATATTTAATGTACATAATGCTGAAAATGCATTTATTATGAAATAAGAACAATAACAATTTCTTTTAGTCAGATGCAGTAATTAAGAAGCAAAATAATACGCAAGTTTTATTATCGATGTTAGAAGACCTCATACACGGAAAGGACTCCAGGTAAAGAAGTGACCATCAATAATTATTCAATATTTTCCAGTAACTTTGCAAAGATAAATTATTGGAATGTAACGTGCTGAAAACCACTTGCATAAAGAGGGAATCAATCCTTTTAGAGTAATTTAAGGGCTATCCCATTACGTGTATAAGGGGACCATTCTCGATATGGAGACTGGTGTGCATCCTAGGCTTCTATGGTACACACAGGAAATACCAAGTACACCCGAGCCACCAACACCAAAAGTAGTGGAAAATGGACAAAAGACCTTAACTTTTTTGGGTACATTATATTTATTATCTTTGTTGTAATCGAAATCAAAGTTATGCTATGTATAATAAGAGCAATTTTCAAGACATTGCAAAAATTCATATCAGATTATGTGTTCATGATGTATTTGTAAAATAAAAATATTCTTGTGATATCACTCAGTTCACATGTGTGGTCGAAAAGAAACTTTTAACAGGTATGTTATTCTTCATTCACCAATCAGTGGTTCAATGTTTCATCAGGAGAAAAAGATTGAAAGTTTCTCCATTGAAATATGTATAGTAGAGTTTACTGAGTGGTCGAAATAATCTAACAAACTATTAACTGGTTATACTCAATTTGATTGGGATTCGATTCAAGCATTTTGCTGAAAGTTTGTTCAAATTGTTAATGTAGTTCATTACCTAAAGTACGTTTTGCCAATTAGGAAGTGCTACAAGGCTTGACACTTTAGTTAAAAAGTGTACGTCTTTGTCCTATAAGGCCTATCCACTTCTTGAAGATGAAGAGGCATTGCAATCATTGGTTGTAAATTTAAACATAAGCTGAAACAGTTTGTTAAAATCAGTTTTTGTGTACAGATATGGTACCTTCAACACAGAGCAAATTTAAGACAAATGAGTGTCTAAGTATCTTTGCATCAATTGAAAACATTTGTTTCAAATTGCTTTAAGAATAGCCCCGTCTCTTTTAATATGCCAACATCTGAAGATAACATATTTACTTTAGTTTTAGTATGTCTATTTTCTTTTTTTTCTCTTCTCTATATTCAAATATGTTTTTAAACTATACAAAAACTGTTAAGGAATTGCCATTTCAAGGTAGAAAAGTGCATGACTAACATTATTTGAGAAGGATACACATTGCGCATAAACTATGGAAACATCAACTTTTATTTTTGTGACTACTGTGTTATGTTGCCCATTGACAAAAGTAGCTGTTGAAAGTTGCGATTTTGCTACAGTTATGAATAAATGCATTATTAATGTTCGCTTTCCTGGTGGAGGAAGGTTGAACACTCTTTACTGGATCCTTGAAAATATACATGGAAAATCTGGTCTGAAGATACAGTTGAAATTGTTGGTCCTCAAAAACATCAGTCAGACAATTCAGGAAATG